TTTATCAACAATTAGAAAAGTACTACACAAATTCTATAAAATGATTGCTGAGATAGTAAAAAAACACTATATTTAAAAAATACGTATCACTGGATTGGGATTGGATTTAGACAATTTAAGTACTGCCAAAAAAAATGCTGATGTTCCATATTAGATATGTATAGTAAAAAACGTATTTTACAGCAATAAGATCTATTGCATGTTTTATAGGCTATATTATTACTAGAAACAACATTATTAGCAAGGAATCTAAAGATTGTCTAAGATGTGGTTTTATTTTTAATACTGAACGTTAATAGGAGACCAACCAATGGTTGCCCTATCCTATTTCTATAAACATACTGCTTTCTATACTTCCAACTAAAAACCGAAGTCACTACTGCTTGATATCAGGCTGTCCAAAGCGGTATAAAACCTGAAACTTATGATTGAAATCCCATAGTTCTAACCACTAATCCACAACGGAGCCCTAACCCAAAACAAAACTAGTGGGGTGTATGGCATCGTGCCTTAAGGCAAATTGCTGGAACTTCCCGTACCGTAACGAAATGTTCGAGGAATACTGAATGTTTTCAAATAGATTATAATATAAATAAATAATGTAACACTATCTAATATTTATTAGAATTATATAAACTGAATTGCAAAGTTGAAATTATTTGTTCAAAGTATATTAGAACTTTAGTCAAAATTAAAAATAAAATCTGAATTATTTTCGATATACAAATATTTTTTTTTGAAAAAAAAAAAGTTGAAACATTTTTTTTTTCCAAAATCAATTATTTAGTTAAGAGAAGCAGAAAGTTCTTTGAATCATTTAAATCGGACGCTTAGTTCTCTCAAAAATTGCCATTTTTTGCACATTTAGCTCCGTATCTTCGAAATGGCTGGGCCTGCCTTTGCCAAAATCTGATCCCCAATCATTACTAATTGAATGTTTTTTAGAACATTCAAATCGGATGCTCCGTTCTCTCAAAACCTCGATTTCTATATCTCGAATGTTTTTTGATCCATTCAAATCGGTTGATCCGTGCGCCCGAAAACGTGACTGGAAATTTGTATCCATACATACATACATACATACACACACACATCCATTTTTTCTGAGGTATGTCAAAATGTTCAGAAACCTTCAAAACGTCGAGAAATGTAAAAATTTTCAATTTCGATTTTCGGCCCATTACTATAAATTACACTTCGGGAAGTTAAAAATAAAATTTCTATGTCATTCTTCAAATTCATTCCATATTGATTTCATAATGGAATAAAATCCAATAGGATCGTGTATTGATTCAAATTGGAGCTCGTTCGTTCCATTGCGAAAACGTTATTTGAAAGCCAAGAAAAACATGACAAAGTTGCTACAATTCACAACTATCTTATATATCCATTGTGAGTCAAATGAGTTAAATTATCGTATTAATTCAATGATACAGAAAACCGTTTGCTCTTGACACAGTCGCAAGCAGTTGAATACGTCAGTGTCAATATCGACGCTAATGTAAGAAGTATAAAATGTTAATCAGAAATAAGTAGCGGGAAAAGCAACGGTACGGAACGTTAACTGAATTTGTAAAATAATTATTTGGTTTCTTCACATAAGTAATAAGATATAGATTCCGCAAAGGTTAGAGAAGTAATTGAAAAATGCCGTTGTAATTAGAAAACGTAGTAAGAAAAAAATGTAACTATTATCAATGCAATATATTTCTCGTATTCGAATATATTTATTCAGATCATACAAAATCAAAGAGTATGACTATAACTATACTATATTAGTATTAAATAATTCATTTAACAAATATATAACGGGCAGTACTTTTTCGTTAACTTCCCGTTGGGTGTGATATAGTAATTGCAAAAAATCGAAAATGAAAATTTTTATATATCTTTACGTTTCAAAGATTTCTGAATATTTTGCATACCTTAAAAAATGGATGGAATGAATGGATTTATGTATGTATGAGTGTATGTGTATGTGTGTGTGTGTCTGTGTGGATACAAATTTTCGTCGACGATTTCGGAAACACCGATCAACCGATTTGAACAACCCAAAAAACATTCGATTCATATTGATAAGGAGACGTGCTGATTAGTTTAAGCGAAGGCAGGTCTAGCCGTTCCGAAGATACGGGGCAAAATCTACCAAAAACGGTAACTCAGTTTTTAAGAGAACGGAGCTTCCGATTTTAATAATTCCGAAAACATTTTACTTGTATTGACAAGATGAACTGATTAAATTTATGGGAAAGCAGGTCCAGCGGTTATTGACTCTCAATAAAATAAGTTAAGTTAAAAATGTCATTTGGCGGTCAAAAATGTTTATTGGACATTTGTACATCAAATTATCAGATATTTTATAGAGATTTTAATAATGTGTACACATTTTGTGTAAATTTTTTTGGGTTCCGTACTAAGATTTTTAATTTGCCTTAAGGCACGATGCCATGCAACCCACTAGTTTTGGATTTATTTGCGCAGCGATCAGAAATTAAATCTTATGAGCAATTGCGATTTTTTTTAAAGTGGCTTTTCCAGAAGAGAATCCAACGCCTGCTCTCTATTTAATAAATTTGTAATAACAATTTCTGTAATACTGATTAATTTCTTCTTGATGTCAGGAAAAGGCTATTTTTTACTTAAAAACATATTATCTTATTCATTTTCAACGGAGGTCTCTACCGCTTGATATCAGGTAGTCCGACATTCTGTATGTCGAACCTGCAATCTTCCGGTTGAAAAGACAAAGTTGTATATTTACACATGCTACAAATAACGTACCAGATTTATTATTATTGAAATAACAGAACATATCTGGCTAAATTTGGCGGACAAAGAGTTTGCGATAAATTTTCATTGTAATACATATATAGTGATCAATATATAATAGTTATTCGATAGTTGGCCTATAGTATTAACTTAATATTTATTATAAAAAATATTGGGCATTTACAAGTTAAAAATTTGATTTTAGCTGCATTACCATGCAAAATCTAATCAAACTAATATGCAAATTTTACCATATTCTAATTTTAGCACATAGTTTCAAGTGACCAAGACCTACAAGATTTTCGATCAAGTGGAAACCGGTTCTCAATTCATAACAGTTTGCATAAAAAACTATGAGTAACTCACGAGAAACCGACGATTAGATATAACTTTAGAAAGTAATATCGTTTTAAACCGCAAGTACCCATAAAGGAGCTTTATTGATTTTTAAGAATTTATTATGATTTTGAGAGTTCCATAGAGTCCATGAATGGTTCGATATTTCCAACAATGATACAAAAAAAACCAAATGATCTGACGAAAAATTCTGAGCACAGTTTTATATCATGAATTATTTAATAGAACTTCAATTATGAATTTTGTTATGAATTTATAACCGGATAAATTACGTGTTCTTGGCGAATGTGAATTGCATAAAATGAATATGCATTAAGTGGATCGCAATGAAAGAAGATCAAGATATTATGACTACATAGAATTATATTACATACTATACCCTTAATTGTTATGCATTGCTATTTATGTTAATCACCATTTGTTTGAAATATATTTTAAAAAAATTAATACATATATTTCCTTGATCATATTTGAAAATGATAAAAATCTTTATAACAAGATGTGGAATTTGTTGAGAATTATATTAATTTATGATAATCAGTTTGCATGATTTAAAACACTTATGAAGTCAACACGCGCAAAGAAAAATTAAGAACGAATTTTATATTACTGATCTTAACGTAAGTGAAAAGCGCATTATATATAAAATAAATAAATATTTATTGGATAAGGCATGTTTAAAAGTTTAAAACTATTTTAAATTTTTTAAATAAATAAACAATCATCAAATGTAAATTAAATTCCATTTCTTAATTGTTTTCTGTTTTCATTATTGAAATCACATCAAAAATATTTCATAAACATTTTTTGCCAAGAATTTTTACCAAGATTAAAATAATTAATTAAAATTAGTGTTAAATTAAAAACAAAAAACATGATTTAGCAAATGATTTGCGATTATATTGCTGAAGGTAAAATTTATAATAGTTCTCTATAAAAAAAGAGTTAATGGACTTGGCTCTAATAACTTGGTTATTAGAGTTATTTGACGTGGATAATTTGTATGTAGAAGATTTTGAGTGTGTAAACCTAAAAATAATAGTTTTATTTAATAACACATTTTATTACAATACATTTTTTTCTATAAATTTGTTGAGATATCTACGTCGAATTTTTAGATTTTTGTAAAACCTGGTTATGAAAACCATATAAATTGTATGTATGCAGTTGACCCATTGGGGGTCAAATTTGATGGAATACTATTTTTTTTTTAAAAATAGCGATGTTCAAATGAATAACTAGACTAGATATAATTTCGAAACATAAAAAAAAACTATTCTGCATCAATGTCGTCCATATTCAATTATGAAGCAAATGAAATAGAACATAAAATTTTGTATCAACTCGAGTCTAATTGAACCAAAAGAAACATCAGTAATATTTATGAAATTCAAAACTTTACCTGAAACTTTTCACAAAAATTAATAGAAGAAGTAAAGCACATCAAACAAAAATTCAAAACAGGAAACTGGTTGCAAATTTTCATACTCTTATAAATATTTGCATACAAATATGAATATGTCTTATCGATAAGGAACTGAGTTTTTTTATTCAACATGTTTCCTTTGTGCCAAAGCAAAGTTTAATAATAAAGTTCTTAATCAAATAGAGCATAACTCATATGAGTTTTACACATAAATTAAAACATAATTATAATATGTATATAAATCATCAAAGTTGATTGTTTATATTTCTTATGCTCAGATGCCAGGGTTAGCCAAAATGAAATATCCGGAAAAATGTGAATCAAAGAAAAGTATATATTCTTATTAGATTTTTTTCAAGCTAATGGAAGACTTGAATTATTCACTATTTATACAACTATAGTATATAATAGGTAACATAATAAATCTCAATGCCCATAAATGACTTACCTCGACAATATATTCATCTCGTCTCCTACAATTCCAGCCTGATCCTATACAGTCTGAGTAAAATGTTAGTAACACTACATCCACTAAAAACCAAACTAGTGAAGTCAATAAAATAACTCGGCATGTATGCATCCGGAATTTACTCCGGAACATGTTGCCATACACTTTAATTTAACTATAATACTGCTAATATATCCGCTTGGAACACATCACTTTTTTGAGTATATGGCATTGATGATTGTATTTATTTCAAGCAAAACGCTATAACCTCATTTTACAAATTGCGTTTCTATACTTATGGAGAAAAAGTTATTTGAGGCAGGATTGGTCTGAAATAATAAAGTAAAATTAATATGATAAATTAATCATAAGGGTTGCAAGTTTGAAATAAATGAATAAATACTAGTGTTTTTTCTGTATTTAATAAATCAATAATTATTTTGGTAGAACTTATTAAATTGGAACAATATAACATTCAAAATATATTTTTTCGATTCAGGTTTGGCATGTATAAGATATTGATCAGACTCAAAAAATTTTATTTATTCTAGTATTCTCAAATTAATGAACTAATTAATTATTTGTCATTATTTCATCATTTATATAATGTTTATATCATTTCAAACTTAACGAAAGATTGGAAAAATAAACAATTTTACTTAACCGAATCACAAATGTCAACAATCACTGCCACAAAACCAATAAATTTATCAAAAGATTTATAAAGCATATCAAAAATTATTTAAACAAATTTATCACAAAAATCAAAACACACATACCATTCACAAATAAATTATGTGGCACATAAAACAATATTAAAATTGTGCACCTGTACAAACTGAAAGTCAAACATTACTGCTCCACACACGCAGTCACACGTCACAAATTCAAGTGTTGCCAGAATGTGAAGAAAGGTTCTTAAACATTTTTAACTATGGCCATACTACGGTTGTGTTCTCAACTAAATGATATGGAGGGAAATTTGAAAGTTTTGCCACCAACTTGCAAAACTTTAGAAAACGTAAACATTTTCTTGCTTCTGAATTGAACTGATTAAATTGTTTAAATTGATCACAACATACTTATAATAATATTACACTAATTGATAATAATACATAATAAAATAATATAAACAAAATCATCAAATCAATCTGTTACAACTTTAATACTATCACATCGGAAATTTTAATAACATTTAATAAAAACATACTGAAACAATACATGGTAATAATTAATCTGCTTGTTTTACATTGGACGTTTCACATTTACTGCGGCTTTTGTAATAAAACTATCTTTGCGTTCTATATCTTGATCAGTCTCTGTTGGCATCGCCATTCTAAAATATTTAAAAATACCGTATTTATAATTTTTTGTGTTGCTATAATTTTACATTTAGAGCGAATTTTGAGAATGTTTTAAACGCCTACCTAATGCAACAATGATAGCATAACAACATTCTTCAACAATAATTTAAATTTAAAGCGCGTTAGAAAAAAAATATAATTATTGATCAAACAAAGTTTGCTACTCTCTTAATAGCATTTTCTAGCAAAAGTCATAATATAACTGAGTAATAGAGCCTCTGTTCTATTACATACTTGTTTACTTCAATACACATTTGTTGAATTACTGCATGCATGTTTAAATTTTACACCTGATTACTACTAACAATCATGATTCATCATGATGATTATGATGATGATCATGATGATAACGAATATGAATAATAATTATTATTCTTTAAAGATCTCTTGTTCTCATTTTACACCTGATTACTACTAACAATCATGATTCATCATGATGATTATGATGATGATCATGATGATAACGAATATGAATAATAATTATTATTCTTTAAAGATCTCTTGTTCTCATGAGTACTAATACTACGCTCATATTTTAATGTATTTGAATATACTTGTATAATGCATATCCTAGTTACCTTTCTTAAATAGCTTACTATACTTAGCACAAGTCACTATTATAATATGTATTATTATTTGCTTCCTATTATGTGATATTAAATATACTATTGCGTAATAATATCACAAACATAAACCACTATTATGTTCACTCATACTATGTAAACTAAATTCTAGTCCAAATTATTATATTATATAAAGTTTTATTATTATACTAACCTTGTGAATGCGGTATAAATCTGTGATACACCACCCTTTGGTCCAGGGCAAGGTCCTTGTTGTCCGCAGGGAGGTGCAAAACATGTCGGCGCAGGACATTTACATGGTGGAGATGAAGAATGCTTTCTTGATTTTCTTCTCTAAATTTGTAAATTACGATTATAACTAAATATATTACATGATGTATAAAAAATAGTATGAAAATATTTACTGGTTTTGCGGTTCGAGATCCCATCACAGTTCGCATGGACATGAGGGCACATTTACATCGTTGGACATCATCCAAATTATCTGGAGGCTCCATGCTAAAAATAATAATCATAATAATAATATTAATCAATTATATAATAGTATTTTAACAGCAAATGAAAACAATGAAAGAACTTTAATGTAAACCGTCGTCGTAGGCAACATATTTAATTTTTTTTTTGGAAAATGCAAGTCTTTTCTAGTTACATTAATAATTAAATAAATATTAATTATTTTCTTACTCTGGCGGATTCGTAGCACATCTACAAGATCGCGCTCTCATTTGCTCGCGAAGATTTAAATTTTTCATTTTCTCAGTTCTTATAATATCTTGCAAATCCGTAATAGCAGCTTTTTCAGCATTCATTTCAACTTCCAGTTCAGCAACTAATTTAAGAATGAAAACCTTGTTGATTAATTTACTTAATATAAATTTAATTAAATGACTCTACATACGTTTGTCCTGTGTTAATTGTTGCGTTATTAGCAATTTTCGTCCCAAATTGGGTTCAATACGTGGACTTCTAGGAGAAGCTGATCTGGATGATCGAGGACGGCTGCGTGGTTCGCGAGGACGAGCACTATCTTTAATTTACAAATTTTTAATATATAAATACTATTAATTCTTTCAATTTATAAATGATATTTGCAATAGTAAATAATTTAACAAAATATTTTATTAGTGCTTTTATAACTGTGGAAGATGGCAATGATTACAGACTTACTTGGCCTTGATGATTGCCTGGAACATGGAGCATTGCAAGGAGATCCTTGAGAAGCAGAACGTATTCCACAACTCTTACTTCGACTTCTACTCTTGCGACGACTTCTGCTCCGCTTACGGCTTCTACGTCTTTTTAAACCTTTTGCGGTGGCAGCAGCAGCACATGTACGATGATGTAATACTTTCAATTCGTCAAACGTTAAGGCCTGTTTTTAAAAAATAAATTTAATATTTTTAATTTTTATGTATAATCTTGTTGCACTCAAATTATTTATAAGAATGTTTGTAATCATATATTAAATTTTATATATAATTATTTTTTTATTTTATAAATATATATACACTCTTTTTGTACAAACCTCAAGACCACCTGCTATTATTTTATTCATTAAATGACCCATGCTTGGTGTAGGACCAATCTTATCCATTTCTGTTTGAGTTTCAGCATAAGGACAAGTGCAATGCTTTTTCAAGTCAACCCCAGCTGTGATTCCTCTGTCCTGCAAAACGAAAGAAAGTATTTCTATAAAAAAATAAAAAGTTAAAAAAAAAAATTACCACAACTTACCTTTGTTGATTTCTTAGCTGTCGCCTTCTTTAATCGATTCTCAAGCTCTTTGTTAGCGAGTTCTAAATCGCACATGCATTCTTTAGACCGTTTTACTTCTTCAGTTAATATATCTCTCTGCATTACTAGATTATCTAATTCCATAGCATGATCTCTTTCAGCTTCTTTTTTAATTTCTTCGTGCATACTTTCCATACGAGATAAACCTTCCTTGTGATCTCTTTTAACACTACTTACGTCTCTGTCATATTGTGTTTTTATACTTTTCATTGCAGATTGGAATTGATTTTCTTTATTCTTTAATTCATCTCTCAGTGCCTTTAATTTTCTTTCACATTCTTCCTCTAACTTTTTAATTCTATCCTCATACTTTTTGATAATATCATCAAAATCTTTTTCAGCAGGCGGCGTCACTTTGGGCGGAGTATACTTAGCTTCCTTTTTAGATGCTTCTGTGTTTTGATAAATACAAAAAGTTGTTATAATATATTAAATATATATACACACATACACACACATATATATATATATATATATATATATATATATATATATATATATATTTATATATATAATATTACCTGAGAGTTGCTTTTTCAAATCAGCGTTTTCGTCTTCTAATCTCTTATTTTCCTTTCTTAGCCTATCAATTTCTTTTGTAAGTTCATTGACTTTTTTTGTTAAAGACATAATTTCTTGCATTCTGTCTATACTGGCATTTTCTTCAATAGCTAACGCGCCTTTCGTTTCAACAAGTTTAGCTGCCAAGGTTTTGTCCTTACTAGATTTAGCATCAGCTAATTGTTGCTTCAACCGTGCTACTTCTTTTTCAAGTTCTTCAATTCTTGCATGAGCTTTTTCCAATTCAGATGTCAATGATTTTATTTGATCTCCCATACCAGAAGGGCCAGACGGCACTTCCTTCAATTTTTTATTACAGGCGTTCAACTCTTTTTGAAGACTATCTATGATTGCTTGAAGATCTTCTTGTTGCTTTCTTTCTTTATCAAGATGATCAGTGGCGTCAACGGCCGTAGATTGCTTTGCAAGTGCTTCTTTTAATTTACGCAATTCTTCTTTTAGGGCTTCATTCTCAGTTTTTAATACTTTTATGTCACCTTGACAACCTACTTCCAATTGTGCGTATTTTTGTTTCCACGATTCTAATGTTTCTTCCAGAGCAGCTTTATCTCGCTTTAGACTTTCAAGTTCGTTGGTTTTAGCATTCAATTGTGATTGCAAATTAGCATTTTCTTGACGTAACCTGTTTAACTCAGCTTGTAAATCGCTTTCGGATGAAGCAGCTCTCTGAGAAGCAGAGGCTAGAGAGTTCTTTGTTTCCTGTAAATCTTTATTCAGCTTATCTAATTCTGCTTGATGTGCAGCTTGTTGATCTTTTAACATTTGATCTTTGGCACTGAGTTGTTGTTGTAAGCTTGATAGTTCGGCTCGTAGCCTAGTTAATTCGGCTTGCAAATCACCTTGTAGTACAGAACTCTGCTTTTTAAGTTCTTCGAGCATATCTCTAGCAGCTTTCAAATCTGCTTTGAGCTGATTTATTTCTTGTTGGGCAGCCAAGAAATTTTGTTTTTCAGTATTGAGTTCTTGCTGAGCTGCTGCTAACTGCTTCTGCGTTGCTTCTAAATCTTGTCTAGTTCTTTGCAGTTGTGTTTGGCAATCCATCAATTCACGATTTTTCATTTCTGCAGAATCTAATGCAGCCTTCAGTGCATTTTTCAGCCTATCAATTTCAGATTGAAGATTTGACAGCTCATTAGTTTGTTGGCCAGCATTTTGCAATGCAGATCTAGCTTCTTCTTTAGATTTATTTAAATCTGCTTGCATATTTTCTAATTGTCGAGCTCTTTCATTTGCAAGATCTTGCGCGACTTTGACATCGTTTCTTAATTTTTCCATTTCGGATTGCATAGATGCTAATTGTCTAGATTTTTCGTCTGCGGAATCTTGACAACTTTTTAATTCAGATTTTAAGCGTTGTATTTCGCTCTCCAAAGCAGATATTTCTTTATTTTTATTTTCTAAAGAATTTTGACATGTGTTCAAAGACTGTTTTAATTTTTCAATTTCGTCGTCTTTAGCTGATATAGTTTTCTTCAGGGATTCTATTTCCGTTTTCAAATTAGAAACATCTTTTTGCAGTGCTACTTCCTGACCGGAAGGTCCAGAGACTTGTTGCTGTAATTGAGAAACTTGCTGTTGCAACTGTGCTCGGCATTCTTCTAATTGCCTCATCAACTGTGCAATTTGGGCATCACATGCAGCCTTTAGTTGTTCCTCTTGTTTTTTAATTTGAGCTCTGCATTCTTCTAATTGTTTTTTCAAATCCATATTATCTGATAGCGCTTGGCCCTCTGCAGGCGTTTGCCCTTGCATAAGTGAGGCTTGCTTCTGTAATTGAGCTCTACACTCTTCTAATTGACGCAACAGATCGGTATCTGCGCCAGGAGCAGCAGATTGGGTTTCTGCATGTATTTGAGATAATTGTTTATGCAGCTGACCACGACATTCTTCCAATTGTTGTTTAAGTAAAGCCATATCAGCTTCAGATTGTAATTGTTTTGCAAGTTTGTCACGGCATTCCTGTAATTGTCGCATCAAATTTGCAATTTCCGGCGATTCCGTTTGAGTTTGAGTTTGAGTATCCTGCAGTTTTGATAGTTGCTTTTGTAATTCATCCCGACAGTTTTGTAACTGTTTCATAAGATCTGCTATTTGATCCGGTTGACCTTGCATTAATCTTGCGTTGTCATTGCGTACATTTTCAAGTTCTTGCTTTAGTCGATCAATTTCATTTTGTAGATTCTTAATCTGAGCACGACATTCATTTAATTGATTGATAGCATCAGCATTATCAGTTGCTGTTACTCTATCAGTAGTATCTCTAGTAGGTAAAATCTGTGCACCGAAATCAGTCTTTTGAATTTCTTGTCCCTGCTGCCTACCTTGGATTTGAGATAATTGCTGCTGGAGTTGGTCACGACATTCCTTTAATTGACGTAATAGTTCTTCGTCACCTATAGGTTCCTGTTGTTGCAATTTAGCCTGGCATTCTTGCAATTGGCGCATCAGATCAGCAACATTAGCACCTACAGTTTGTGTTTGATCTTGCGATACAGGAACCTGCTCCTGCAATCCTATATCTTGAGATTCAGGCCGTATTTGTACTCCAGTTTGTTGTCCGGGCATCGGTCGATATTTAGATAATTCTTCTTCTAATAGTTTTTTTTGAGCAAGTAAATCATTAAGCATTTGCTGGCAATTATCTCCTTCGGCAGCTTTTCTCATTACTTCCAATTGTTCTTTTAATTGTTTATTATTAGAATATTGCATTTTCAACCTGTCTGTAAGATCTTTAATTCTGGCGCATTCATGTTCACCTAAACCTGGTTTGCCCTCATCTCCACCTATGAAATCCATTTCGGTATTTTCTTTAGAAAACTCTTTTACTTTAGATAAGCTTTTGGGAATTTTTTTAACTTCCGTTATAACAGCGACCAGAGCTTCATTAGTTTCATCCAACATATGTTTCACATGTTTTACTGTACAGTCACAAGTTGGTTGGTCTTGTGCTTTATGATCACCTACTGTACACGCATTTCCTAGACCACCACGAGAAGATCTACAATCATTTAATGATTTTGATGCAGAGATGCCTTTTCTTACAATAACAACTGTTTGCTGTTTCTTACTATTGTAACCACAGGAAGTACATAATGAATTATCTATATTTGATGTTTTCTTATCTAATAAAACTCTCGTACAGGTTGAAGGATCTGCCGAAGCACTGCGTCTTAAATAACACTGACATTCACTTTTGGTCTTCTTCGTACTCTTTGCCGAATTATAACGTTCTAGATATTTTTTAACATTTTGACGGCATACACACTCTTTGCTATTTGCAATTGATTTATTAGCAGACTGTGATCTGGAACCACAGATATCTTCCGTTCGCTTACTTCCGTTTTCTTCTGGATCCAATGAATCTAAAATTTTGGTACATTTAGTTTTTAAGCGCTGATTTTCTTTTTTTAAACAATCTATTTCTTTTTGATAGTTTATTAATTTCATAATCAATTTTTCAGGTGCTTCAGCTTCCTGTAGGCACTTTTGGCGATCGCCCTTTAAATCGCTTAATAGGTTTGTAATCTTGGTTGATTTTTCATCGTTTTTATCATGGGCTCGTAACTGTAATTTATCAAACATAGTTTTTTCAGCGTCATTTTTACAAGGATCCATATTATTTTCATAATCATCCAAATTTGAAGAATCAGCTGTTGATACTAAACCAGCATAAGCCCTCCGCATTCTTCCAATTTCTTCATTCAATCTTTCAATTTCTGCTTGATAAGATAGTAATTTCCTAACACATTTCTCTTTGTCATTCTCATCCTCGGTAGAATTCATTTGACCGCACGTTAACTGCTTTAGCTGCCTATTTATTTTATTTACTTCAATAGATTTATTGCTAAGTTCTGATTGAGTACATTGTAATTCGTCGAGCAAACTTTGTTTTTCTTCAGCTACCTTATCTATTGTTGACTCTAAATCACTTTTAATACTATCCATATCTTCTTTAAGTGATACCATATTTTCCAACTCTTGTTGACATTCAGATAGTAAGTCATTTTCATCTTGCAGTTCCGATCTTAATTCAGAGATGATGATAGATTGACGATCCTTAAATCATGTAGTATGAATTTTATTAAAGTATTTAAAACCTAATATTTTAATATATAAGTCATATTGAATTGAAAAGAAAACTAGTTAATTTAGAAACAGGAAAAAAACTTGTAAATTTTGAATTTCTGGGATAATGATATGTTGAAAATGAAACACAATTGATTAAATACAATACAAGTATTACTTAATTTGAATCAAATCGGGCGTTCTGATTTTTTATTATATTTTGATGTAGATAAACACTTATTTCTGTATCTAACGGAATATGTGCATACACATTTCCGTTCAGTTACCTGATCGCCGGCGAGTTTTTGTATTTTCACTAGAAGCCTATCAATCTCTTCCTCCTGGTCTGAAATAGCAAGTTCAGCGTCTCGCAAACGATTTTTTAAAGCAATACAATCTCCGCTCCGACCCTGTAGCAATTCTATTTGAGTTTGAAGTGCTCGATCCCTTGCACACATTTCTTCAAGTTTATCACGATAAGCTTCACATTCAAGTTGCAAGCATTGAATATGATGCTCTCGTTCTTCCGCTTCGCATCGCAAACATTCTAGCTCGTCTTCTATTGAATGGCTGGTTTCTAGCTTACGCATTAATACATCTCGCTCGCCGGCGATCTTGTCCAACGCGTGGCACATACTCTCATTTTCCTCCTCCATATCTTGCATTGTGCATTTACATTTTTCACAACATTTTTTCGCTTGTTCCAATTGTTCCCTAAGTGCATCGGATTCTTGAGCACGTTCTATAAGCAATCTAATAGTATCATCCATTCCATCATAACGATCTAGTTGCGCTCGTAAATCTTCACACTCACCCATCACATTATCTAAAATTTGTGAACGCCGTTCCAAATTTTGAACTTTATCATTATAATTATCGTCAAGTTCGCGTAACCGAGCGTGCAATCTTTGAACTTCAAGTTCCAAAGAATCTCTTTCTTCCTTTATTGGTAAAAGGGATTTTACAGTACACCTAAGACTTTGCACGATTTCCTGTAGAGTGGACACGTCATTTATACATGCAGGATTATCACAAATCATCAGAAGTTCTTGGTCAGATTCGGCTTCATGTAGAGCATCTAATTGAGCTCTTAAAGTCCTATTTTCATTAACACATTGCGCGACATTTACACAACATCTTTTCAAATGAGATATTTCCTTCTTATAAATACAAATTTGTTCGTCTGGAGTTAAATCTTCCATATAAAGCATCTCTTCTAACCTATCTAGTTCCGATGGAATACAAGCTACTCTTTTGTGAAATAATTCTTGTTGTTCTCTCAAAGTTTTTAATTCTAATTCAGATGATACTAATTGCGTACGAAGCTGATCATTTTCATCCAAAACAGCATTGATGTTTTGAAGTTTATTTAATGCATCTTTCAGGTATTCTTCGGTTTCATTTAGCTTACTAGCTAAACAGGCGATTTGAATTTCCGGATCCGTGTGACATAAGCATTCGGTCACAGATTCTCCAGGAGTAAAAGGTTTACAAGGTTCTTTTGACACCGGTTTTATTTTACCAGCTTCTAGTTTGGTCTCTTTTGTAGGGACTGATGGAACTCCCACCTCGGGAATACCAAAACCGTCTTGAATAACTGCACCTGGTACCGGTTGTTCTTCTCCTGCAACGATAACTGGTTGCCCATCAAAAATGCTATATGCTAGTGATACACCTTCTGCTGGTTTTCCATCTGCACCTAATAATAAAGAACCTCTTTCAATAGCTTTACCATCAGGTCCCTCTAAAACTGCTCCTTTAATAGGTCTACCATCAGGTCCCACTGCAACAGGTTTCCCATCAGCACCCATAATAAATGAAGAACCAGGTATTTTTTTACCATCTGCATCTTTAATCTCATATTTTCAGTAATGGGTACTCCTTCGGCGCTTAATATTTTTCCTTCTAGAGGCTTCTTATCCGGACCAACCGGAACAGCAGTCCCATCAGGTTTAAATAAAATAGATGATCCAGTAACCACTTTGCCATCTGCTCCTACAACTATAGAACCAGGTTCAATCGGTTTTCCATCCGCTCCTGATACCCTTGCACCTATAACAGGCTTACCATCAGCAGACACTACAATAGGCTTTTTATCCGGGCCAATTTCTAGTGATACTTCTGACTCTCTTATACCTTGTGGCAGTGTAATACTGGCAAGTCCTTCTATTCGCTTTCCTTCTGAATCTAGCATTTGCGGCTGTGGTATTCCCTTTGTCGGAATAGGTTTGGCATCGGGTCCAACGGGTATTGGTTTTTTGTCTGGACCATATACTATAGAAGATGCTATAATTGGTTTTCCATCCCCAGCAACAATTACTGAACCGGGTTCAATTTCTCGATCATCCGGTCCAATAATTGGACTTTTCTGTATTAAAGTGCCATCGGGTGTTACAGGAACAGGTTTTCCGTCTGCGCCTTTTATCAATAAGGCATCTTTGATTGGTTTACCTTCTCTATCGATCACAGCAGAACCTTTTTTAACAGCTTGTCCATCAGGGCCTTCTATAACAGAACCTCGAATTAATTTGCCATCGTGAGTAACAGGCACCGGTTTACCGTCAGCGCCTTTTTCCACTGTCGCACCAGGAATAACTTTACCTTCGGGGCCTAATACAACTGAACCTCTTTCAATCTTTTTACCATCAGGTGCAACTACAGCAGCTGAAGGAATTGGTTTACCGTCTTCAGATATCGGCACAGGCTTGCCTTCGATACCCATAACCACAGATGCTCCTGGAACCGATTTTCCATCAGGCCCTACAACTGATGGACCAACTGTAACTGGCTGACCATCAGGAGTGCGTGGAGTTGCATCAGACAAAGGTTTTCCATCAGGCCCAAGTACTATTGGTTTACCATCAGGTCCATATTTCAAAACCGCTTCCTTTATAGGTTTGCCTTCAGAGTCTGGAACCATAGTACCTTTATCAGCGGAGATTCCATATGGTGTTTGAACTTCAACATCTTTCAACGGCTTTCCATCAGCGCTGACAGGTATAGGTTTTCCATCTGCACCTTTAATAACTGAAGCGTCTTTAATTGGTTTTCCATCAGCACCAACCACTACGGAACCCTTCGGAAGTGTTCTGCCACCAGGTTCTTGTACTATTGCATCTTGTATTGGTAAGCCTTCGACATCAAGAGCAACTGGTCTATCGTCCGCTCCTTTAATTATCACTGAACCAGGTATTGGCATTCCGTCAGGCTTCAATACTGGAGAGCCTTTTTGAATTGTTTTACTATCTGGACCTAGTATTTCCGCTCCAGGTATAGGTTTACCATGACCCCCAATTGGTACAGGTGCCCCATCACCGCCAGTTTGAACTGACGAATCTTTTATTATTTTACCTGTAGGTCCGACTACAGCTGTACCTCTATCCACTAGTGTTCCCTCAGGACCCAGTATCGTTGCTTCAGGAATAGGTCTTTGATCGGGACCTACCGGCACTGGCTTACCATCTACACCAGTAACCAAATATGAATCTCTTATGGGTCTTCCATCGGGCCCCAACACGGCCGATCCGCGTTCAATGACATTAAGATCAGGGCCTAATATTGAACCTTCTCTAACAGGAAAACCATCTTCTTTAAGAGGAACAGGTTTTTTTTGTTCATCGGCCCCTGGAATCAACGTTGCTTCGCGAACTGCTTTTCCATCAGGTGTTACAACAACAGAGCCCTTTGGAACCGGCTGCCCATCAGGTCCTAGCACAACGGCATCTTTTATTGGTCTACTTTCTCCATCAATTGGCACAGGTCGACGTTCTTCATCAGCACCCGCGATAATTTCGGCGCCTTTTATTGGCTTTCCGTCAGGACCTAAGATTTGTGAACCCCGCCGTGCTTCGTCAGTTGGAGTTTCTTTTCTAGCTGCTGCCGGTGCTGTTTCAACGGCCACAGATTCAGTTTCTGTAGGTTTTGCCTTCCCTTTCTCCTAATAAGCATAAAAAATATTAAAATATGATATAAACGTCATGGCTATTTTTTGTTTGTAATCATTTTGTGTATACATTATATCATTGCAAAGTTAAAAATCTTTATGATACCGAAAATAAATTTAATTCTATAATTTTCAAATTATATTTATATACAGATCATATCATATATGCTATATAAACAAATTAAATTATTAAATTATTCAAAAATATAGAATATTAAAATGAAAATCATTCTAAAATACAAGAAATGAATTTTATGCACGAATAGTTATCTGCAAAAAATCTACTTGAATACTTTACATTCACTTATAATTTAAGCCGTTTTCAAACAAATATATTTTTAGAGTAATTAAGGTATATATTTAGTTTAGGTAAAAATGGTATAGTATAGTTTGAACTAAAAATTTCACATCTAACTCATATAATAAAAAGTAAGTTCATCTCACCACCGCTGAAGGAACTCCCGATACAGTTTCCCTGTCTCCCTGAAATAATAATGTAATAAATATTTAATGCATGCAATTGAATTCAATGCAAACTACTAATTTTTATCTTTATCTTACCACGGCTGCAGTAACGGGTTTTTTCCCTTTCTGAAATAAACATATAATAAATTAAAATAATATAAATTCGTTTTTAAGAAACAAACTTCGATGAATATTAATTATTAAGGTTTCTTCAGATTTTTGCACCATTTGAAATGAGTTGTTTGAATGCTGTGCAGTAAACTTATATTCCCTACGTCAAATATTTGAAAGTAACAGTAAATCTCTTCAATTTTTTTTTTAAGATCTATAGTAAAAGTACTATGTAGAATCTATGGATTATAGTACAGAAAAAAGTATATCTTACCACTGCTGAAGGAACAGCTTCCCTGTCTCCCTGAAATCAACATAAAATAAAAATATTAGTTAAATAAAATAAATATATATTATGTAATGTGTATATATATGGTAATAATAACAAATTTATGAATTGTTGTTTTTATGAGAAAATCTAGAAATAGTAGCTTAGAAAATGTTTATAAATCGTACAGTGTGCGGGAGTAAAATCAAATGAAAGAAACCTGTTTTTTATTGATTTTTAAATTCGTTCTATCTGCCAAATGAAGTACCATCGACTATCATCTAAATTTCGATTTAAAACGTAGTCGAAAACAGGCAGGCAGAAAAACAGTCAATTATATCGACGATGTATTTTCAATATATAGGACCTTAAAACTTAAATATAAAAAAACTTACGACTGGTCCATAATCTTCAAGGGCTCGATCGTCTGTTGATGTTCGCTGGCAAGTGACATATTCAAGTAAATATATGCATTTGACTCTGTCATCGCAATTCCAGGCCCTTAAGTCAGTACACGAATCAAACCTCTTCAGACGGCCTTCGCTCCTGGCATGAACCAGCTCCTGGCAATCCTTGGGCTTCAAATAACTCCCGTACGTTCTACTTCTCTGGGTTATATACGACATCCTTGCGGATTATCATCGGCGTACGCAAGTTTGCCTACGTAAAATTTATTGTTTCTTGCACTAAATCATAATGTCAGTTGTGAAAAACGGTTCTAAAATGCTAGATCTTAATCAATTGTGTTTCATTTTGTGGAATTTATTATTTTAAAAACGACATTTGAAAATTAATGGTTTACTGTGCGTATAAAAAATGGAAATTGATATTTGTTGTTTTGTTTTTGCTCAGCTTACTAAGCAAATAGTAGTTTTGAACGTTGTTTTTTATTTTTTTATTTCATAATAATTTTGATAATTGATAATAATTTAGATGGAATAACTAATATTGTCACGTTATAATAATCATTTCGAAAACTTAGGTAATATTTCGCTTGCTACACTAAACTGATATTTCTTCAGTAACACCATAGACAGATTTCATATTTTGATTTTGTGTTCTATTGCTTAATAACAATTTTGTGGTATAATATATATTATATACTAGCAAACCCGACGAACTCCGTTTCGCCACCAGATGGTTTCGTGAAAAAGATGAAGAATTTTTTGTTTGTTTTATATTTGAAAAGGAAATATTTGATTTTATTACACAACAGTAAATTATTTCGATTACAAAAATGAAGTGTTTTTAGTTAAACTTCTCTAAGTAATAAAAGTGAATCCGCAAATTATCCGTTTCATTGAAGTGCTCTTTGGTAAACCACATTTTTTGTTTTTTGGTCTGGCGTTAACACAAACAAAGCGGATGGTTTTCCAGTCGTAAACAGGCAACGTATAACTGCCCATGTGAAAAACAATGATTTTCTAAATAATCTATTTCAAATTTATCCCGCAAACACTAAGCGATTGGCCTTGCGACTTGTTATTGCGAACGCAAAACGAACTGAAAATTGCAATCGTTTGAAGTCAAACGGAAGACCAGTCGGAATCATTGGTATGTCACCAAATCGCCGGCAATTTTTTATTGAATGGTGAAATTCAGTGCGTGTACATCATTATTCTTTGCGGCAAGAATTGCTCGTTGACTTAACCAAGCATAATTCTGTTAATTTTCACTAATGTCATTACTCGAATTTTTAATTAC